TAATATAATTATATTTTGGCTAAATTATTTTATTTAAATTTTGATTTAATTAAAAGTTATACCATTTTAAAATTTATACATTTTCATATGTAATTTTTAATTTGGCTGGTAAATATGATTGGCCAATTGCTTTATCATGTGATATCTGACGATTTCTGATTGGCTAATTAAATATTCATATAATAATGAAGTACAATGTATGACGACATAATAGCGATAAGTTAATTTAAATTTGAAACTAGTGACGTAATAATGTATAACCTTTATAATCGAATACTTTGCATAATTAAACATTTACTTGTGCTTTTACTTTATATAATTAAACCTTTACTTGTATATATATTATCTTAAATAAACCAATATCGCACAATAATATTAGTAACATTATAATATCTAACAATAAAGAAGAAGTTGGTATAAGTGTAGAGGTTGAAGAAGAAGAGAGCTGGTGTGAGTGTGGAAGTTGAATGGTATGGATGTTGGGAAGTTTGATGTGAGTATAAAGAAGTCTGGTACAAGTGAAGAGTAATAAATAAGAAATTTTTGAGTAAATTTTTACTGTAAAGATATTAATTAACTTTAAATTACCTTTAGTTACTTTAAGTATATGAAGCTTTTTTATATTAAAGTTAAAATTTTAACATAAATAACACATTACATATAAATACTAATCTTAATAAATTTTTTTTTTTATATTATTTGATTTAAAAAGACATTCCTCAAAAAAAAAAAAAAAGTTAGTTATACTGGTTTTATATTTTTTGTATATTCAAAATGCCAAAAACAAAAAGATCCTGTTAATTGCAACAAAATGCTTCAATTGCTCGACAAGCACTACGACATAAATTAAATAAGGTTGAAAGTCATGAAAATAGGGAAAATAATGAAAATAGTGAAAATAGTGAAAATAGTGAAAGTGATTTTAGTGATAGTGAAGTGTTGGAAGAGGGAACAATGATAAATGAAGAAGAAGCAGATGTTATTATAAGTAATACATTCAAAAAATAATAAACCAAATGAACAAGCTACAAATAACTGTCAACAAATGTCCACTTATATATATAGGTAATTCTGAAAGAACTCGTTGACAAAAAAAGGCTAAGAACAAAGAGGCTGCTGTAGGAACAGTTTTTATTACAAGCTTTTTTTTAAAAGTTAAGAAAAATAATTTAGTGAGTGATGAGGAAAATAACCAAGACCAAGACAATCAAAATATGGATGATGATAATACTGAAATCTACCAACAAAGTTTTGAGAATATAATAGAAAATGTAGATTATAATGATGGTGAAAATCAAAAACAAAGTATTGAAGATACAATTAAAAGAATTGATCAGTATATAAAAAATGAAAAACTTAGCAAAACTGAGTTAACATGGTATCAGTCAGTTGTTTGGTACTTGTGTCTTTTACAAAATGGAAAAAAAAAAATAGAATCAAGTGAAACTGTTGCAGCTATTTGTAATAAAGATAAATACCTTGCTCAATGTATAAGAAGATAGGCAGTATTATGTTTAAAAAGTAATTTATAAAATTTATTCAATATTAGCATTAAATATGTGCTGCCAAATTAAAACCTGTAAGTTAAAATTTGATTTCACAAATATTTTATGATTTGATCAATCAAATTTCAAGATTATTCTAATCTTGAAACTTGATTTGTCAAAATTGTAAAATATTTGTGGGTCAAATTTTTACTTACAGGTTTTAATTTGGCAGCGCTCAGATATAAACTTATTATAGTATTAATATAATATATTATTATAATAGGTGAAACTATACCTCAATGCTTTCATAGAAAATATCTATCCAAATCGCTCTTTTATAATAAAACTGTATTTATGCGTATAGCTTCATACCTTAGATCAACTAAATTTAAAGTAAATCCTCATTTAGTAAAACAATATTTTGAGAAACAAATAGTTTCAGATCTTGGATTTACTACTCCACAAACAATAAGTATCCGGACAGCACAAAGATGGTTACATCACTTTGGCTTTGTTTATAAGTGGTATTAAAAAGGAATATATATTGATAGCCATGAGCACCCTGATGTAATTGCCTATAGAAATGAATTTTTAAGCCAAATAGCTAAATTTAAATTATTAATGCCTAAGTGGTTAGACAAAGAATGTAAAGTGAAAACATTGCCAATATTATATCAAAATCAAAAGCCTTATATTTTAGTAAAACATGATGAGTTAATATTTCATGCATATGATGGGACAAATTTTTTTGGGGGATCACAAAATGAGCAACCTTTAAAAAAAAAAGGATTAGGTGCGGGTTTACATATTAGTACTGAAGAAATTGGATGATTAAAGGATGATGAAGATGAAGCACAGGTTATGATTACATTGGAAGCAAATCGAGATGGGTATTGGAATAGTAAAAGGTTATTAGATCAAGTGCACAAAGCTGTCCTTATTTTTGAGAGAACACACCCAGGAACTGTTGGTGTATGGGCATTTGATAATTTAACAATTCATACTGTAATGGCACCAGATGCATTGAATGCTTATAAAATGAACTTAAACCTCAAAGGCCAACAACCAAAGATGCATTCAACTATATGGAATGGCCATGTACAAGAAATGGTGTTTTCTTTGAATTATACAAATGACTCAGAAGATTTAGGTATTAGTTTGCGAGGTCAAGCAAAAGGTAAAAAAATTTTATATAATTGTTATTAAGAAAAAATCTACAATAATAAAAATAGATTATTATAAAATTCATAATAATCTATTGTTAAAATTATAGGTTTTTTCTTGGTAACATCTATATCTAATATAGTATTTTAAATTTTATATTTAAAATTTATAAATTTGCATAATTTATTTATTTATAATTAAGAAATGAAGATTGTTTTACAGAAGTGTGGATTATAGTGAGAAGGATTAGTAGCAAATTGCAAAAAAGAACATACTGGAGCAGAATGTTATGCCTGCCAAATACTTGCTAATCAACCAGATTTTAAGACCCAACAAGGATTAATTCAAGAGGAATTAGAACAAAGAGGACATAAAGTAATTTTTTATCCCAAATTTCACCCAGAACTTAATTATATAGAGATGTATTGGGGTGCTACAAAAGCATATACAAGAACACACTGTGATTATTCCTGGAAAGGTCTTTGCCAAACTGTTTCTAAAGCTTTGAATTCAGTTCCAATAGAACAAATTTGTGCATATACTTGATGAAGTTTTCGATGGATGGATGCATATAGACATAGGCTAACAGGGGAAGTTGCTAAATATGCTGTTTATAAACAAAAAAGCCATCACCAAATCAATGAAACTATATTACCATAAAATTTATTGTATTGTTTATAGACTTTATTATAAATAATAAATAAAGAAATTACTTTGCTAAATAAAAAGTTTATTATCATATATAAAACTTTACTATGTTTAGCATAATATATGATTGGCTATATGCATGTACACGTGATCGTGCAGATTTTTGAAATTTGGCCGCCTTTATAAAATAGTTGTCGGGATAAGCTGTCTCATACTATAGCATCATAGTGCTATAGCACGATAAATTAAATCCCATAAAATTATTCTGTTTACAAATTATAGAATAAATTTTTATTTGTATACATACCAAAGCTTTCAGAATTATCAATAATACAGTCAGGGAATATACCAAATTAGAAAATCAGGTTCTAGAATGATCTACATATTAATTCTTGATCTTGATTGGCTCTTGCGTACTTTTTCATTAAATTTTTTCAGAAAATTTTTACAGGTTTAACTTATTATTAGAAACTTACAAGTAGACACATAAGTAGATAGTAGAAGACCTCTAGTT